TTCAAATAGCCAAACGGATGACTGTGTACATGGACTTTCACCAGGTGGCCAATACAGAATTCAAATAGACTATGTAGTTGAAAGCAGGAGATGGAGAAACTGTATTCTCTGTGCCAAACAAGAACAGGAGCAAACTGTGGCACTGACCACAAACTGTGAATATTAAACAGAGTAAAGCTGGAGAAGAGCACTAAAAGGATTGTAGTGCCAAAATACAATGTAAATAACATTCCAGATGGGTTTGAAGTCCGCAGAAAAAACAGACCATTAAACTTGATTGACTGAGAGCCAGAAGAACTGTGGATTGAAACTAGAAATATTATTAGAGAAGAATGAGAAAAGACAAAAAGAAGTAAAAAGGAAGGAATAATCAAGATGGATGACAGAAAAACACTAAAAATTGTTAAAAAGTCAGGCAGGAGGCAAACGTAAAAGGTGACAAAAGGGAGTTTAAAACCCTGAATGCAAATTTTAAATGTCTATCATGTAGAGATAAAGAGAACTATTATAATAGTTAATGTAAGGAGATATAAGAGAGCAACAATAAAGGAAAAACATGGTATCTCTACCAGAAGATTCAAAAACAAAAGGCAAATTCAAACTTAGACTAGGATTGCTGAATGACCAACAAGGAAGCACATTATCTGACAAGGAGAAATTAAAGGGATGACGGGGAACAGCATACTGAAAGTCTATACAGAAGAGACAAAAGGATCACAGAAACCTTTGAAGAGGATTCCTAGAAAGTGAAGTGAAAACTGCTGTGAAATTATTGGGAAAAAATAGTCACCAGGGATAGATGGGATACTAGTAGAATTATTTCTAGCCACAAAGACTGAATCTGTCAAAATCCTAACAAGAATATGTAAACAAACATGAAAAACAGCAATGGCCTACATATTGGAAATGGTCAATATACATTCCAATTTTTAAGAAAAGAGAGGCCAAAGCTTGCAGTAACTATAGGACCATTGCTGTGATTTCAAAGTGATGCTCATGGTGACACACCAAAGGCTTCTACCTTATATGGAACAAGGAATGCCGGATGTTCAAGCTGGATTCAGAAAAGGAAGAGGTATTTGAGGTCTAATTGTGAACATTCATTGGATACTGGAGTGCTCCAAAGAATTTCAGAAGCTTAGTCTAATGTTTTATAGACTACAGTAAAGCCTTTGATTGTGTGGATCATGGAAAGCTGTGAGTTTCTCTGAAAGAAATGTGTGTGCCTCAGCACTTGATAGTTATGAATAACCTGTATTGTGGGCAGAAAGCCACTGTCAAGACAGAATAGAGAGAGAATGGTTTCCTATAGGCAAAGGTATCAGACAAGTCTCCATATTTGTTTAATCTTTATGCAGAACATATATGAAAAACTGGAATAGACTCAGAGGAAGGAGTGAAAATTGTTGGAAGAAATATCAATAATTTAAGATATGCAGATAATATCTTACTGGCTGAAAGTAGCAATGGATTAAATGACTGATAAACGTGAAAGAAAAAAGTGACAAGTGACTGCATTTGAACATCAGAAGGACAAAAATGACTACAGAAGAAATAACACAACTTTAATATAGACGATGAAGATATTGAAATTGTTAAAAATTTTGCTTACCTTGGTTCACTCATCAATTCAATTGGAGACTGCAGCCAAGAAATCAGAGGAATGCTGAGACTTGGTAGGTCAGCAATTGAAGAATTAGGAAAAATCACCAAGAGCAAAGATGTGTCATTAGAGATGAGGGCTAAGATCATCCACACCCTTGTTTTTAAACTAACTGGATGCGAAAGCTGGAGAATGAAGAAGGCTGATAGGAAAAAAAATGATGCATTTGAAATACAGTGTTGGAGGAGAGCTCTCTGATACCCTGGACTGCTAGAACGATGAACAAGTGGTCCCTAGAGCACATTAAGCCCGAAACATGGCTGGAGGCAAACATGACAAAGCTGAAGCTGTCCTACATTGAAGACATCATGAGAAGGCAGGGTTCTTTGGAAAAGATAGTAATGTTGGGAAAAAAATTAGGCAGCAGAAGAGGAAGACCAGATATGAGATGGATTGACTCCTTAAAAGAAGCCACAGCCATGAGTCTACAGGAGCTGAACAGGGCTGCTAGGACAGGCCATAGCAGATATCACTCATTATGGTGTTGCCAGGAGTTGGAGCTGACTCAGTGGCTCATAACGCACACACATCTCTGCCCTCTTATTTGCATGGGAAATCTTTTTCCATCCTTTTACTTTCAACCTATGTGTGTCCTTAGAGCTAAAGTAAGTCTCTTGTAGACAGCATATAGTGAGATCCTGTTTCATTTTATTTTTAAAAATCCATTCTGTCCACCTAGGTCTTTTGATTGGGGAGTTTAAACTATTTACATTAAAGTAATTACTGATAGGAGGGACTTAGTACTGTCATTTTGTTAATTTCTATGTATCTTCTAACTTTTTGTCTCATTTTTTTTCCTTATTCCCTTTGTGTCTAGTCAATTACTTTGTAGTGACAAGATTCGATTCCCTTATTTCCTTTCCTATATTCTGGAAATATATTCTTTGTGGTTCCACATAGATGACATATAATATTTTAATGTTATAACTGTATTTTAAGCTGATACCAACTTTAATCTCATACAATAACTTTAGTCCTTTATAGCTCGCCTCCCCAACTTTGTTATTGATGTAACATGACATTTTAATATATTACGTACCTATTAACATGACTTAAAAAAATCTTTGTCTTTTAAATCCTGTAAAAGAACAAAAAATGGAGTTACAAAGTAAAATTATAATGCTATTTTTTTATACTTTCCCATGTCTTTACCTTTACTGTAGAACTTTATATTTCCAATGGCTTCAAGGTACTACCTAGTATTTGTTTTCAACTTAAAGGACTCCCTTTAAAATTTCTGGTAAGGCAGATAGCTCAACTGGTAATGAGCTCCCTCAGCTTTTGTTTATCTGAGAATATCTTGAATCTTTCCTTATTTTTGAAGTAGATATATTTTGCCAGATATAATGTTCTCAGCTGACAGTTCTTTTTCTTTCAGCACATTAAATATAATATCCTTGTTTTCTGGCTTGTATGTTTCTGCTGAGAAATCCACTGATAATCTTATTGAGAAAACTGTGTACATGTCAAGTCACCATTTTCTTGCTGCCTTTAATCTTTCTTTGTCTTTGTCATGTTTCTTGGTTGAGATTCTTGGATTCATGTATTCATGTCTTTCCTCAAATTTGGGGGTTTTTGGCTATTATTTCTTCAAGTAAGTTCTCTGACCCTTTTTTTCTCCTCCTTTTGGAATTCTATAATGCATACACTTGATAATGTTCCATGAGTCTCTTAGACTGTGTTCACTTTTCTTCAGTTTAAAATGTTTGCTCCTTTTTATTTTCAAATAATTTATCTTCAAGTTTGGTGATTGATTCTTTGGCCTGTTCGAGTCTGCTTTTGACTTTCTCTAGTGAACTTTTCAATTCAGTAATTTCTTGTACCTCTGTTTTGTGTGTGTGTGTGTGTGTGTGTGTGTGTGTGTGTGTGTGTGTGTGTNTGTGTGTGTGTGTGTGTGTGTGTGTGTGTGTGTGTGTGTGTGTGTGTTTGCTTTCTTTCAAGATTTTTCTTTTTTTGTCGATCTTATAACATTGTATAAGCTTAAGGTGTGCACCATGTTGATTTGATACATTTATGTACTGCAGTATGATTACCACTAGCTTCAGCTACACCTTTATCATGCCACATAATTATTATTTCTATTTTGTGGTGAGAACATTTAAGATCTAGTCTTTAGCAGTTTTGAAGTATATAATGGTGACTATAATCACTATGATGTGTATTAAGTCTCCAGAATTTACTAATCTACTTGTAAGTTTGTACACTTTAACATCTCAATTCCCCCACATCTCAGCCCCTGGTAACTACCATCCTACTCTCTGTTTCTATGAGTTTGACTTATTTATATTCTACATGTAAATGATACCATGGAATATATTTGTCTTTCTATGTCTGGCTTATCTTACTAAGCATAATGTCCTGAAATGTCCATCCACGTTGTCGCAAATGGCAGGATTTTCTTCTTTCTCATGGCTGAATAATATTCGTGTGTGTGTGTGAGTGTGAGAGTGTGTGTGAGAGTGTGTGTGAGAGTATGTGTGTGTGTGTGTGTGTGTGTGTATCACATCTTTATCATCTGTTGATGTACACTTAGGTTGTTTCTATATCTTGGCTATTGTGAATAACACTGCAGTAAACATGGAAGTGCAGATATCTTTTTGATATCCCGTTTTCCTTTGGTTATATACCTAGAAGTGGAATTTCTGGATCATATTCAAGATTTTTCTTAATTTTTGATTTTCTTTAGTTTATGATATGCCTGTGTAGTTTTGTTTTTTTTTGGGGGGTGTGTCTGAGCTTCCTAGATCGGTGATTTGGTGTCTTTATTATTAATTTTGGAAATTTCTCAGCCATTATTATTTCAATTTAGTTTTTTTCTTCTCTTTTGTTTTTCTTCTGGTATTCTCATTATGCATATGTTACAGCTTTTACAGTTGTCTTATAGTTCTTAGACATTCTGTTGCATTATTTATTTTATTTTATTTTTCTCTTTGCATTTCAGTTTGGGAAGTTTATGAGTCTCTGAGCTTGCTTATTTTGCATTTAAAAAATTTCTTTCCAGTTGTTCACTGGAAGTATATTTAAATACAATTCATTTTTTGTATATTGCTCATATATTATGCTACCTTGCTAGATTAGTATTATTTGTATAATTCTGATTAAAATGCATAAACATTAAGCTACAATTGCAAAGGTCATAACTTACAATAAATGATGTTTTGGCCAAACATACAATCTTAGAATAAGTTGAAGAATGAAGGTTATAGTTGGACTCTGTTTTCTGTCATGTACATTATTTGTAATCATTTTTCCTTAATGTGACATTTTAGGAATGAACTTTTTAAATAAAAAATATTTGAATATTTTAATTTTATTGTTTTTTAATAATCTTTTTTAGGAGCTGTGGCCCTCAAGAATCTTGAAATTAAAGAAAATGCCCTGGTAGGTTTGATTATAAGAAATTTGTTAGTGCATTTATCTATATAGATTTTTTCCTGATTTACTTTGTCACTATAAGTCATTTAAGTTTGAGAAAACTTTTTGAAAATAAGTTTTGTAAAAGATGAATTCTGCTAAATGGTTTTAAAAGCACAAACTGATTATAATTTCCCCCATTTAAAAATATTTCTAATATTTCTTCCTATGTAGTGGTTTTATTTTTTCAAATTTATTTGTTGACGTATAGTTGACATGCAATATTATATTCATTTCTATATGGTTTTATTTGAAATGGTTAACTTATTTCACTAATCATCAACTTTTTTATACCATTTTAACCATTTTTTACTATAGAATTTACTATAGAATTGAGTGGCATTTACAATAGGTATCTATTTCCAAAACTTTTTCGTTATGCCAAAGGGAACCTCATAACCATAAATAATAACTTCCCATTCCCTTTTCTCATAGACCCTGCTAACCTCTAATCTGTTTTGTCTCTATGAATTTGCATATTCCATGTACCTCATATAAGTGGAATCATATTATTTTGTCATTTTCTGTCTGTCTTGTTTCACTTAGTGTAATTTTTCAAGGTTCATCAATGTTGTAGCATGTATCAGAACACCTTTCGTTTTTATGGCTGAATAATCTCTGTGTGTATGCCACATTTTGTTTATTCATCTGTTGGTGGACACTTGAATTGTTTCTGCCTTTTGACTCTTATCAATAATGCTGCTATGAACATTGGCATGTACAAATCTGTTTAAGTCCCTGCTTTCCATTTATGTGGGTAAATACCTAGTTCAGTTGCTGGATTTTATGTTTAGCCTTTTCAGGAACCACCACGCTGTTTTCCATAGCAGTCGAACTATTTTATATTCCCATTAGCAGTGCATGACGGTTTCAGTTTCTCCACATCTTTGACAACATTTATTTTCTGTTTTTTTATAATAGCCATCCTAGTGGTTGTAAAGTTGTATCTCATTTTGTTTTTTCTCAGCATTTCCTTAACGACTAATAAGGTTGAGCATCTTTTCATGTGTTTTTTGGTCATGTATACGTTCTTTGGAGAAATGACTATGAAAACTGTTGTTGATATTTCAGTTTTTGTGTTTTTTTTAAATGTAAAAGAGGTAGTGATTCTGGTATGGATAACTTACGTGGTCAGTATTACTGTAGAACCTTTCGCTTGTTTATTTTAAAAAGATCAGTCTCCATGTATTTTATGTATTTGAGAACAATAATCCAATTATGTGTATATTTATAAATTTAAATAAGTATTGAAGGTAAAGCATCTATCTTGTTGAACTGTATATGTACTAATATTTTACATTTATATTTGCAGAGTCAACTGGATGTACCATTTAAAATTAAAGTTGGTCATATAGGTAAGCTATGTTTATTATTTGAATGTTCTCCTTGCTGGACATGCAACCAGAATAATATGCCTAGTATCTCTATAATGTGATATTTGTAATATTTCTGAGCATTAATTGAAAATGTGTTTTCATCTAGGTAGAGTCTAATTGTGTAACTTAAATATACCATGTGGTTCATATACCCCTTGCTCAATACCTATGAAATTATACATCTTATTAGGTGTTAAAAATGAGTTAATTGAGTGATGGAGTGTTAAATCGAATTGCATAACCCACTCAGTTTTTAGGTTTTTGACTAGTTGTTATTGCTGTATTCTGATTGGGCATGGATATGTGGTATAAGGAGTAGGGTCTGGATCATACAAACGTTTTGGCTCAGGACCTATCAGAAACTGAATTTCTGCTCTGGAAGTTTTTTAGGTTTCCAGGAAATGTTGTATTGGTTGTTGTTGTTCTGTATTATTTTCCTAGTGTTCATAGTTTACATTTTAAGTGTATTGGTTGAGCAAAACTGATTGGAATATGACCTTGTAACATGTTTAATAAAAACATATGTTTGGTTTCTTAAATTACGTTAGCTTACTGTTTTAACTTATTGTTTGAATTATTATTTAAATTTTACTGCTTTAAAAATTGTGCAAGATGATAGGGTTGTTATTTGATACTTGGAAGTATATAGATACATTTTGTTACATAGTTTGTGTTAGTATGATTTATACAATGTTATTGAAACATTGGTGTCGGAACAAGATATTCTGAAGCTTATGTAAATTACATGATTAATATCTCTATAATTTTGTGTGCTCAGATTATTATTATAATAAAACATTTGCTTGACAGTTTTCATCATCTTATATTGCTACGATTTCACATTCTGTCTTCTCCCCCTCAATTTAAAGATAGTTTAGTATAAATAATAGAAAACATGTCTTCCATTACTTTTCTACCTAACATTTATTTTTGCATACTTCTATATGATTTTTTTACATGTGTACATTTTAACTACTTGTAATCCTGGTATATGTGTAATTTCATATTCTATTTTATTCAGTTAACATTTAATAAAGAGTTCTCATAATCCATGTTGATTTGACCTCATTTATTTATTATGGTAGTGTAATCCAATGAATACACATTTGGACATTGTAGAGTAATCCTGTGTTTTCATAGGTGCAACGACATTATAGTAACATTTTCAAGTAGCTTTTAAAATTTTTCCAAAAGTTATTGAATTTTATAATTATGGTCATTCTATTTCAGTGTTTATAAAGTTAACATCAGTTCAAGAAAATTAAAAAAATGTATGAGAGTACATAGATCTGATTTTATTTAGAGTTTGCCTTAGTTCCTAATTCTTCTTTTCTTGCCTAACCATGTTTAAAAATGATAAGGTAACTTTCATTGTTAATACACCATAGTGGAGCATACACTGCAATAAATACCTAATATACAAAATAACATTGAGACGCACTTAAGGTATTGCATACCTATCATTCTTTAATATCCTTATTTTTTTTCTTCTAGACAGTATGTTTCTAGAGAAGAAGTGGATTTAATTTTTATTATATCCACACACTTAGCACAATACCTACAATGTATAGTAGGAACATAATTTGTTGAATAAAAAAAAGTAACATGTTTCCAAATTACTGTACAGTAGTACAACCAGTTTTATAAGATGGCATTGTCTCCTTGCTATGATTGAGTATTGTTAATCTTACTGATCTTTAGAAGATTTCCTCATTTAGAATGAAGAATTACACATATATCAAATGTAAATACCCATATATGTATTTTAAAAGTAGTTGTCTTCATCGGGAAGATTTTTGGAATTACCTTCATTTATATTTTTTCTGAATTTTTCAAATTTTCTGTAAGAAGCCTACATTTTATAATGAGAGAAAAAGTTTGGTTAAAAAAAGATTTAGGGGTGAAAATGCTACATTATTAACTTTTTATGTTTCTTTGATTACTTAAGGCTATTTGGTCACTGTTCTCTGTCCTTTTGTTCATTTTTTGGATTATTGTATGTATGTGGTCTGCTTGATAGTATTTATAAATAAATTATGTCAAATTTGTCACAGTTGTTTTTTCAATCTCATTCCATTTTGGTTACATTTTGGACTGTACAGAAATTTGAAATGGTCACTATCTTCTCTGATTTCAAAACTTAGAAAGTTATCCCTGTTTTAGAAATCAGATAGTTTTTCTCTGGATTGACATTGTGTGATGAAATCTTTTTCTCAATTGGGATTTTTTAAAACATGGGTTATGGAATGAGATAGATAGATCTAAGTAGATTTTTTCCTTTTCCAAATTACTAACCAGTTAATACGATAATAGTGTACTTAATAATCTTTCCCTTCTCCAATTATGGCAGCTATTTCTAAATCAAGAGACTCATACTTTCTAAAAATTATTAAAATATTTTAAAACTATTATGAAAATATTCTAAATATGCAAAACTAGAATCAGTATTATCAGCCCTGTACATAGTATTTTTTCATTCAAGACATTTCTAATGTTTTAAAAAATAACTTTGCTATTGGATTGTGGTAAAATATTCTCATTAGTTTGAATAATTTTCAAATATTTTCCATGATCCTTGACTATTACCGGAGAAATTTGTGTGTACATACACTTATGATGATAATCACACATGTGTATTACCATACATACAGTCATGAGGTGTATAATGACATTTTGGTCAACTACAGATCACATACATGGTGGTAGTTCTATAAGATTATAATGGAACTGAAAAATTCCTACTGCCTAGTGATGTCATAGCTGTTGTAACTCATGCATTACTCGTGTGGCTGTGGTGATGCTGGTGTAAACAAACCTGCACTGCCAGTTATATAAAAGTATGGCACATACAGTTATGTACGGTATGTAATACTTGCTAAAGATAATAAATGACCATGTTACTGGTTTATGTATTTACTATGCTCTCTACTTTTTATTGTTATTTAGAGTGTACTCTTTCTACTTGCAAAACATTTTTTTGTGTGCTATAAATCAGTATGCCGTGTTACGCCAGCAGTAATCTTATACATCTTGTGCTTACCATGTCTCTCGATTGTATCATTTTCTCTTGTGCTTGATTTAATTTTGTGTTGTTTTTTTATAGTAACATGCTCTCCAGGTTTGTAGCCGAGGAGCAATAGGCTGTACTGTATAGCCTAGGTGCATAGTAGGATATCCCATCTAAATTTGTCTAAGTACTCTCTATGATGTTTGCACCATGATGAAATTGCCTAATGGAATTTTCTCAGAACATGTCCCCGTCGTTAAGCTGCACATGACTGTATATATAACCTCTATATATGAAAAGTACACACACACACACACACACACACATAAAGTATATAATGTACCTTTTTAAAATGTAAGGAAAATACTTATAAAGATTTAGAGTAAGAATGAGGAGATTCAAAGTTACAATATTAAGGATTGTTGATTAATGGTAGAAGAATAATAGTATGTTTGTGATATAGATTGCCATAAACAGAAACTTGTAAATATTTAGGATATCATTTAGATTTTCCAACAGTACTAATACAAAAATTTCAGATTTTCACAGCAAAGCTTGTTGTTTTTAGTTGTAAAATAGCTTTCTGTAAAGTGACTAGCTTGTAATATTAAAGTCCACTTTATCTCTTCTAATGCCTGACAGAAAATAGGCTGACAGTAAATGTAGGTTAAATGAATAATATTTTTTGTCTTTTTTTAAAATGTAGGTAATCTTGATCTTACAATTCCATGGAAACACCTTTATACTCAACCAGTTGTAGCTGTATTAGAAGACATTTATCTACTTGTAGTGCCTTCTTCTAGTAAGTCAAATTTTAAACATTATAATTTAAGTGCTTTTTTTGTGCATGGGAAGTCTTTATATTTTATAATTATATTTCAGAATACTTGCATTTTTGGAGAGATTTTTATACATAAATTTAGTATTAGGTAATTCAAATTAAATTGACATTTTCTCTAAATTTTTGCAAACTTGGAATTAGTAATTATATTCAAGAATATTCCTTGGAATTAGTATATTTAAATTTAAGGTAATTAAGATTCTTCTTTTTATGCTATAGTAATAAAATATGATCCTTTAAAAGAAGAAAAGCAACTTTTGGAAGCAAAGCAACAGGAACTAAAAAGAATAGAAGAAGCAAAACAAAAAGTAGCTGATCAAGGTAAAGAAAACAATAAATAAGAATGGTAATAAGAAACGGGGAAAAGACCTAAATGTTAATCACATTTGAATAGTATTTTTCTTTGGAAGCACTGAGATTACTTAACAAATATGAGAGAATCTTATTACTTGGGGCATTTTCATGTAGTGTGTGTTTTATCATGTTTTCAGAAATTTTACCATATAGAAATTTATGCTAGGGCAAATAATATACCTAATTTATAAGTGTAAGGTTAGTTTTTGACTATAGTAATTAATTTAATCAAGTATGTTTTCTTAACTTTCTAGCTTTTTTAGTTTCCTTATATCAATTCTTCACCTTTCGGATATAGTTAGTCCTTTGATATATTTATGTTTTCCCTGATCTGTTTATTTACCCTCTGACTTCACATCCTTTCCTATTTAACCTAGACCACGGTCCATTACTTTTGTTGGTAGAAATGTCCTGCAGAAATCCCTTTTCCCTCTGTGCTGTGTGCAGCGCCACCAGCTACTTTTTGTACTTGGACTCAAACTTCTCCCATTAGTGAGTCTTTCTTCTTAGCATGTAAATATACTGTAGCCTCTCTTATCTTCAAACATAAAATCATTTTCCTAAACTAATCATGTGCTTATCTTTTTCTCTGTTCTTCATTTAATAAACATCTGTAAAACAAAACTAGGTGTATACTGATTTCACTATCCTTGTCATACATTGTTGTTGTTGTTTTTTTAAAATAAATAAAACCCAATAACAAATGTTTTATCTGTTGACAAACAGGTAAAACACATTAAAGGAGATTAACACAATTCCTGGCAAAACATCTTGTAATTACATCTTCTTCTGTCACAGTTCTTCCATTTCCTGTGTAGTCATTTATCCCTACCCTCAATCCTTTTTTTAATTGATTCTGGGTGGTGAACACACAACGCAATATATAGATGATGTATTATATTATAGAAATGTACACTTGAAACCCATATAATGTTACTAATCAATGTTACCCCAATAAATTTAGTAAAGAAAAAGAAAAATATTTTTTATTGTGGCATGCATATAACAAAGTTTGTTATCTCAACCATTTTTACATGTACAACTAGTTCATTGGTATTAAATATTTTATAATGTTGTGCAACCATCACCACCATCCATCTATAGATCTCTTTTCATCTTGTAAAACTGAAACTTTATACCCCTTAAACAAGACCATTTGCCACCCCTTCACCCCCAGCCCCTGGCAACCACAATTCTTTCTGTCTTTATGATTCTGACTACCGTATTTGCCGGCGTATAAGACGACTGGGCGTATAAGACGAGCCCCTAACATTTCCACTCAAAATACAGAGTTTGTTATATACTCGCCATATAAGACTACCCCCTCTTCCGCACACCTTCCACACACCAAATAAAAGGTAAAACAATATCAGATTTGATTTCAACATTTTA